CCAGCTAATTTCATATTTCTAGTAGAGATAGGGTTTGACTCTTGCTCGGGGTGGTCTTGAACTCCTGAGCTCAAGGAGTTCAGAGAGCACACGCCTCACAGCGTGCTACGATTATAGGCATGAGCCACTGCCCCCAGCCTATTTGTAAGTATTTAGTGAAGGCAGTTCTGAACAAGAGAAAGCCTACTTCGGGGATACAGTCATCTTTGTTTTCTGTGGTGCCTAAAAGAGTGAGGGTTGCCTCCAGGCCCACTGCTGAGAGGTTGGGCAGGACTCTGGTGAGAGAGGGCTTCATGAAGGCAGTGTGCCCCAGACACCCTCTATTGCAACTGGCCTTTGAAGCCTTTAGTCCATACTCTGGCCCCCTTTACCCCAAAGTCACAGGAAGCAGGCCACATGTACTAGGTTCACCCAGACCTTGCCCGCAGCCAGGTCAAATGCCAGCCATATTCAACAGGAAGTGTAAAGAATCTACAAACTGGGATGAGGACGGAAAGAATAGGCTGAATCAGCTTAAGGCCAAAACTGGCAAGGGGGCAAGGGTGAAAAAGATGACCGCTTTCTGCACCTCAAATCCAGCCTATGCTTAGAGGGGTAGTTGGGACATTTGTGGGCAACCAGGTGCCAGGCTTAGTCAAAGACGTCTGCAAAAAAGGAGAGCCATGCTTCAACACAGGACACCACACATGCCTTCCAGCCATGCCCCCGTCAAGATTTAGGCTGCGTGGAGCTCTCTGGGAGGCCAAGTCAGGAGGATCCCTTGCTCTCAAGAGTTTAACACCAGCCTGGGCAAGAGTGAGGTGCCATCTCTACTAAAAATACAAAAACTAGCCCGGCATTGTGGTAGGTGCCTATAGTCCCATCTACCTAGGAAGCTGAGGCAAGAGGATTGCTCAAGCCCATGAGTTTGAAGGTTGCTAGGAGCTATAACACCATTGGCACTTAACCCAGGGAAACAGAGTGAGACTCTTCAAATTGAAAAAAGGCCTGTAATCTGGGTGGCACCTGTGACTCAAAGGAGTAGGCACCAGCCCCATATGACAGAGGTGGCAGGTTCAAACCCAGCCCTGGCCAAAAACTGCTTTAAAAAAAAAAAAAAAGGCCTATAATCCTAGCACTCTGGGAGGCTGAGGTGGGTAGATTGCCTGAGCTCATGGGTTTAAGACTAGTCCAAGCAAGAGTGAGACACCGGTCTCTAAATATCTGGGCATTGTGGCGGGTGCCTATAGTCCCAACTACTCAGGAGACTGAGGCAAGAGAATCATAAAGCCCAAAAGACTTTGAGGTTGCCATGAGCTATGACACCATGGCACTCAACCAAGGGTGACAACAAAATGAAACTCTGTCTCAAGAAAAAACAGAAACAGGGTAGAGCCTGTGGCTCAAAGGAGTAGGGCACTGACCCCATATACCAGAGGTGGCAGGTTCAAAGCCAGCCCCAGCTAAAAACTACAAAAAGAAAAAACAAAAACAAAAAAAGCCAAAGAAACAGAACAAGGGACCCAGGAGACCCTAGGAAGGTGGGCATTGTGCTCCTGAGACCTTCTTAATACCTTTGCCCTTTTTTTTCTCTCTTTTTGGAGACAGAGTCTTATTTTGTCACCCCTGGTAGAGTGCTGTGGCATCATGGCTCACAGCAACCTCAAACTCTTGGGCCCATGATTGTCTTGCCTCAGCCTCCCAACTAGCTGGGACTACAGGTGCCTGCCATAACACCCAGCTGTTTTTAGAGATGAGATTTCTCCCTGTTTCAGGCTGGTCTCTAATCCACTCACCTCACCGTCCCAGAGTGGTGGGATTATAGCATGAGCCACAATGCCCAGCCAATACCTTTGCCCTCGAAGACTCCAGCCCCTGGGTCAGCCCCTTTCTCCCAGTCCAAGGGAGTATGAGAAACAAGTTGCAACCATGAGAAGGGATAAATGGGGGAGCGGAGGAGATTCACCACAGGCCTCAGCTACACTCAGGTCAAGTACCTACTTTATTCAGACAGCAAAGGACCCAGCAGGACTCAGCCCCAGCCCTTCCACGGTGTGAAGGAAACAGGGAGCCAGGCAGGAATCTAGGAAAACAACGCGCAGATCCAGACAGTCAGGAAAGACTGTGAAGTCAGCTTAAGGCACGGACTGGCCAGAGAGA